TCACTCGAGCGAACAGGCACCGAGGCAGCCCTTGTCCATGGGGAGCTCAGACCCCTATGGACGGGGCAGATGGGAGCCGGTCTGTGCATTTTATAAATTGAAAAATATAATACATCTAGATTTTACCAACATTTGTAAAAGATATGAGGGTCACTCGAAGGACATTGTCAAATAGAAGTAATTTACTTGTATAGTGTCATCTGCAGTTTCAGCAGAACTTCTAGAAAATGTAACAGGTCTATTAAAGAAATAAATGTAGGGCATGTGAAAAGCCATTGGCTTATTAGCTCCAGAGAACAAAGTGACTTATATCCACAAACAGAGTACAAGCAGCGGCTGTCCAGAGTCACCATATGCTGCCTTGTGAGAGTAGGCAGCTGGTTCAGATGCTCAGCAATCCTTGGCCTGTCTAAGAGCTCCAGCAAAGGTGCCAGCAATGTGTATAGTTTTTATATGGGTTCCTCCTATCTACTAGGAACTGTACAGAATCTGCAGGCTCATCTCCTATGTATAGTTCACTAAACTACAGTGAGCTGGTAGCGACTTACAATCACTTGTGAGCTGTGCTGGATTTAAGCAAAAGAGATGGAGGCTCTGTATTCCAATCTTATAAACCATCAGGTTCCTCTTTAAAAAGGAAGACAGGTCTTGAATAAAACCACTCAGGATTGGGAGTCAGCACATACAATTTCTAATTTTTCTCTATTATAGCCTTCCTATAGGACACCAGTGGAATGACAAGGCATGTATTTTGAGGAATCTAATTCTTAAGGAATCGTGCCTTCAATTTCCCCTTCAGGAAATGGGGATGATAGTACCTTCCTCAGTGGAGGATGAAATTAAAATGTTCGCATAATTGAGCCTTTCTGATGAAAGGCACCATAGGAGCGTAATATTTATTTCTATGCAAGTTAGGTTTGCTGAGACCTAAAGCAAACACCTACAAGTAAGCCAGACAAGTTATTTTGTCCCAGTTACGCCTACATTCTGCCCTTGTAAACAAGTGCTTTATCCCATCATTGTGTACCTTAACTTGCATTTTTAGTGGGAAAACAGAATATCAGACAACCAAGACCAACAAAGCCAGAAGATCAGCATCCTTTGAAAGGAGGCCCAGCAAGCGATATTCAAGGAGAACACTACAAATGAAAGGTAAGTGGGTGCCCATGCATTGTAGCCACAGTGAGACACGAGTAGAGTAAAATCTCGTGCTAATTCTAGACAGGAATTTTTGCGTTTCTCTTCATCTTGGAGCATGATTTTTATAACGACCCATCTTGCCTTTGAGTCATTTCTCTTGGGACCTATTTGGAACACAGTGTGCTTAATAAACTGGATGAATTCAAGGGTTTTTTTTGATATTTTTATGAAGTTGCCTAACAGCTAAGTCACCTGTGAATATTGTAAGATGTTTATATAGAAAAATAAGTAAAGAACCAATAAGTAAAGAACAATCCCTCGTTGAATCCCTTTGCTCTGTCTCTTCCTTCTTTATCTTAAAACTCTTCATC